GGCTAGGTTAGTTACAAGAGTGCACTTATTTCTACCGTTCTGGTCGTTCTTCATTTGTGCCTACGATTGCCTAACATTCGCTTTTCTGTGCTGTGCTGTACCGGTTTATTTCCCTATGTCATAGTCCCATATTAAATTTGGACGTCTTCTTGGTATCTTGACGCCACTTGAATACCACAATGTAACTGTAGTGGACCATATATTGTCAGTTTTTCTCGCTACATGTACTACCCACTGCCATTTTAAAAATTGAATTCTGTGGATTCCATTAGTGACCTTGGTTTTCTGTCTGATCCACTCTATTCTTTTTCGATCTCTCTTTGTTATACATAGCACGCCTCGCTCCATTGACCTTTGAATGATTTTGAGTTTCGCTATTATCTCTTTATTTAGTGTTCAAGTTTCGCAACCGTATGTCATGATTGGTAGTAAACACCAATCAAACGCTTTTTTCTTCATATGAAGTGGCATCCTGGATTTATATATAATTGCATTTTTACCAAAAGATACCCAAACTAGTTGCATGCTTCTGTTGATTTCTAGGAGTAAGGAGCCCGATTTATGTAATAATTGTCCCAGGTATACATATATACTCCTCTACTGTCACAAGTATTATTGTATCTTGAACATCCACTAACTCGATGTACATGGTTTTTGTCAAGTTTCTTTTTAAGCCAACTTCATTGCTAGCTGTATTTAGGTCTCGTATAAGTTCTTCTTCTCGGAATACTTGGGGCACATTGTGAGAGGTGAAAAGTACGAACTTTTAAGAAACATCGTGCAGGGCAAAATTAAGGGCAAAAGAAGTGTGGGATGAAGAAAAATATCGTGGCTTCGTAATCTACGTGAATGGTTCGGGTGTAGTTCGATTGAACTTTTTAGGCGCGCTGCTAACAAAGTCGCAGTGGCCATGATGATTTACAATCTCCGCTAGGAGTGGCACGAGAAGAAGAAGAAGAATAAGTTCTTGTAGTTGTGCAGGATTATTAGCAATCAGAACGATATCTTCGGCAAATCTTAGATGGGTGAAATATTCTCCATCAATGGATAGGCCTTTGTTTTCCAGTTCATTTTGCTCAATATATTTTCTAGAGTAGCAGTAAAGAGCTTTGGTGATATTGCGTCTCCTTTTCGGACGCCTCTGTTAGTGCAAAATTCTGGAGTGTTTTTACCTAAGCTTTTGCTTGTCTGTATATATTCACTAAAGTCTCTATTTACGGTTTGTCAATGCCTTGATTAGTCAACGCTTTTATTACTGCCTTGGGATGTATAAATTCGAAAGCCTTCTCAAAATCTATTAAGGTTAATGCAAGCCATATTTTATATTTTAGCCCTACTAATTAGTGGATTACTAATTGAACCCTATGGATATGATCCACGGTACTGAATCCACTTCTGAAGCTAGTTTGCTCTCTTAACTATGCAGCGTCTAATGTATTTGTTAATCTTTTGTTGTTGATCTTTGTGAATATCTTGTATATGATTGGTAGTAAACTTATAGGCCTATAGTTTTTGATATCTTCTTTGTTACCTTTCTTTTGAATGAGAATTGCTGTATTCCAATTGTCTAATATTCATCTTGATTTTGGGTCTGTTAAAATTTTCCATGTCTTTTGTCAGCATATTCAAGCAGTTCCACTGTTATGCCACCTATTTCAGCTACTTTACCGCTTTTCATTTTTGTAATCGTTGATTCTACTTCTTCCGGCAGGTCTTCCTGGTACATCGTTACTGATTGCTTCTTATGTGTTTTAACATCTTTGTATAGTTCGCTGTAAAATTTAGTCACGAGTTGTATTATTTTATTTTTGTCTGTAATTCTGGTGTTTTCGTTTGTTAGATCAATGATTTGCTTCTTGCCAATAATAAATGCTTTTCTTGTTTCGATTTTTCCTCAGATTTGCTACCAATCTTTCATTGAATATTCTTATGTTTTCCCTAATACTTCCCTATTGTATTATTATTACTTTTATTTATCTTTTTGGTTTTTGTATTATTTTGGATTTATTAGACAGTTCACTATGTTCATTTTGTTGTTGCAGGCCTCCGATTTGTTTGGCATCATTAAGAATGATTTCAGTTAATTGACAGCTATCGATCTTTCATCAATTGTCCTTTGGTAGTGGTCTGAGTTTTCTTATAGATTGTTAATATTTATACCGGTTATCGTTGGTTTTGTGATTAATTTTATTCTTTCTAGTTTGAGATCTAAAGTTTTTATCTAAATGATCTATGGTCGCTGCCTGTTTGAAATTCATTTTTTACACTGACATATTTTATATTTTATTGTAGCAATCTTTTGGTCAGAATGAAGTCAGGTTCGTTCCTAGTGTTTCCATTTTAATTGCTCTGACCAGGTGTATTTTGTATCATTGTCTTCGTAATTTCAAATAAAATAGTGTGTCTATCGTTCTGGTCGAAGCCTTTTTAATATATATATATATATATATATATATATATTATATATATATATATATATATATATATATATATATATATATATATTACAGGATCCAACTTTTAAACACAATACATTTTGGAGACAGCTATAACCGCATTCCCGTTCTCCTCCGCCAATCCTCCCGGTCCAAGGCATGCTCCTCTTCCAAACCACTCGATTCCATCGCTTTTCTAACTTCTTCACTCCATGAGCGTTGAGGTCTACCTCTTTTTCTTCTTCCAGGGGACTTACATCTGTGAAGTTTTTGAGGCCAACGTTCGTCAGGCATTCTCAATAGGTGTCCAAACCATTTTCAACCTCTTCTTTCTATTCTGTCAATTACCGTTTCTGTAGCATTCATATTATTTCTTATAGATTCATTGCTCTTCCTCTCCAGCCTTGATGTTCTAGCACTTCTTCTCAAATAATTCATTACAACTGCCAACAATTTTCTCTTTAGGTCTGCATTAATTGTCAATAATTCAAAGAAATAAAAAAGTACTCATTATACCATGGTTTGCTCTATTCTTTTTTCGTTCCTTTTGGAAATGTTGCGATCCCACCATAAGGAGTTCAGGCATCCTACAATTTTACGTCCCTGATTAATTCGGTGTTTAATTTCGGTTTCTCCCAAGCCATTCTGATCAACGAATGCACTTAAATATTTAATTTTTTTCACTTGTTTAATTTCCACGTCCTTGTCTATCATTACTTCAAACCTTGCATCTGAATTGGTAACTAAATATTTGTTCTCTTCATGCTGACTCGTAACCCCCATTTTACATATTCTCGGTATAGATGCTTTATCATAAATTCTAGATCATAAGAATCTTAAGCTAGAGCGACTTGGACATCCACAAAGTTCAGAGAGAACAGTGCGTCATTTCCTTTGGGGATTCCCATTCCCTGGCAGTAAATTGTCCAATTTTGTAGGGCCTCAATATATAGCCTCAACAGTAAGGGTAACATAGTAAATCCTTGTCTTAGTCCTTTAGTTACTTTTGTTGGCTCTGATAGTCTATTTTCGATTTTTAGGTAAGTGGTATTATCCCTGTATACTTCTGTGAAGGTAATTCCTAAAAGGTAATGACTAATGCCGAGTTGTTGTAAAGCTTGCCACAATTTAAGTCTTGGAACTGTATCATACACCTTTTCTATGTTGATAAAGGCTAGATGTACTTCGATACCAACCGCTTTTTTTTCTATTAATTATTGGAGAATAAACAAGTTATCAGTGCAAGATCTACAAACAATCTCCCGAAAGTAGGTAGGACACTTAATCCTCTGCAGCAGTTAGGATCTTTTCTATTGCCCTTTTTAAAGATGGACACTTGGTAAGCGGTTTTCCATTCACATGGTACTTTAATTTGTTGGCAAAATTGATTCATTAGAAAAGTTATTTGTTCTATTAGAACGGGACCTCCTGCTTTAAGTAACTCTACAGCTATATTGCCAGGTCCTGGAGATCGCCCGTTTTTCCTTTTAATTAACGCAGTACGGACCTCGTTGTTAGTAGTATTATTGTTGCTATTTGTTCGTCTCTCCATACTGTATTCGTCTCTCCATACTGTATTCCTCTCCCATATATTCCAATCTGGATTCTTGGAGTAAATTTCTATAGTGATTTTCCCACTTTTCTATAGGAATTAAATTGCTTAAGAAGTTATGGGTTAAGCTTTTCTTTAGATTAGTGATAGTTCTTCATGCTTCCGTTGTCTGAGAACCACCAATTAAATTTTCAACTTGAAGACATTTGTGTTCCCAGAAATTGTTTTTTGCTTCTTTTATTTGATTGCGTACTTCTCCGTTTTTCTTTTAATATGTTGCTCTTTTGGTAGATATTTTATTTGTTAGCCATTTCTTATATATTTTGTTTTTCTTGTATTATTTCTTTTACGTTTTCTGTCATCCATGGTGGTTCGTGGTGTTATTTGTCGTTGTTCTTATTGTATTCTTGTTCTATGTCCATATTTCTTTACATCTCATATTTTTAAATTGTATAAAGCAATAATTAATTTTTTAATAAAATCTTTGTAGTTAATATACCTGACTTTTCGTTAATCGTGTTATTCTTTCCCTATAATGGCTTTTGTAATCTTTTCGAATCTATTATTAATAACTTTGGAGTATTTTGTATAGATTGCATATTTATTTATTTCGCTTTTAATATTTTTGCATATTTTATACTTTTTTTTAGTCCAGGATATATTTCAGTAAATAAAACAAGTCTGCATTCTAAATAAGAATAATCAATTATACAATCCCTGTGTATAACATAATCCGTAGCATGTTTTTGCTAATAAATTATATTTTGGAAGAAAATAGGTACAGAAAATATATAAAGTTCTACAGTGATATTATTTATTTTGATATTAAATTAATAAGATAACGTAAATACTGCTTTAACTTTATATTTTGTTGCGCTAACTTGGCCTTTTAGGAACAAAAAACTTTACTTAATCTACTTAGTTATTTTTGTTACACAATAAATGCATCCTTATTTATAAGCTTAATTAGATTATTTTTTCTCCATCACGAACATTATTAATAAGAAACGTAGCTATTATGGCCTTTCCAGGCATTCAGCAACTCTCGAGGCCATCGAATGATCGACTTTCCTGGGGACCATCAGAACCATGACAGTCCACCATTTTTCACCGACGACACCCTCGAGGAAGTTGAAGAGGACGCACCCAGCGATGAAAATGACGAGGATCATATAGTAGTTCTAGGAAAAGGCAAGAAAGAAAATCTTGAATTCGATTGGACTACTGGACCTTGGTCAAGGTGTACCGAAACTTGCGGAGGAAGTGGAATTCAACAAAGAAAAGTCAGCTGTATTGTAAGGTGAGCATCTTATTTTAACTTTGTAATAATTTCCATACCATTATCTAAATGTCTATACTATTTGGTCATCATAAAAAATGATGAGTTATTGAAATTTGTGGAAAACTGGTTTAGTATCACCATTTAATCTTCGCTTATCCACTGCTGGACATAGATCTCCCTCATAATTTTCCATGTATTCCGATCTTGTGCCTCTTGCATCCAATTCCTATGACAACGTTTAAATCGTCAGTCCAACGTGTTGGTGGACGACCTCTGCTTCGGTAGGCATCATCTCTTGGTCTCCATTCCAGTATCCGCTTTGTCCATCTGTTATCTGTCATTCGAGCCACGTGACCTGCCCAGTTCCATTTCAGTGTTGCTACTCTCTCTACTGCATCAGCCACCCCTGTTCTTTGTCGTAGCTGGCGATTTGGGATCTTGTCTCGTAGTGAAATGCCCAAGATAGCACGCTCCATCGCCCTTTGACACACACAGATCTTTTGAACAGTTCTCCTTGTCATGGTCAATGTTTCCGCACCGTAAGACAACACTGGCAAAACACACTGATTAAAGGTTTTTCTTTTAAGACATATTGGTATATCAGACGATTTGAAAGGCTGCCCAAGTCAGTCTTATATGACGGAGAAGCTCAACGGTTTGGTTATCTTTTCTTATGCGGATCTCATGACCTAGGTATTTATAGGCCATTACCTGGTCTATGGATCTTGTTCCTACGCATATATCTTCGCTGGCTACAAGATTTGTCATCATCTGGGTTTTAGATATATTTATTTTCAATCCCCCTTCTAGCGAGGAAAGGTAGAGCTGATTTAAAAGTTCTTTGGCCTCATCTATCCTATCAGCTATTAGTACAGTATCATCTGCAAATCTTAGATGGCTAAGCTTTTCTCCGTTTATGTTTATGCCTTTGTCGGTCAATTTTGCGTAGTGTTCAGTTTTGGCGATATGGTGTCCCCCTGGCGTACTTCACGTTGTATCGGGAATTTCTGGGTTTGACGATCACCCACTCTAACACTGGCTGTTGCATTTTGGTATATGTGTTTAATTATATTTATATACCGATAGTCAATCCGGCATTCTGTCAAGGCTTCCAATATTTTTTGTTGATTTACGATGTCGAATGCCTTTTCATAGTCGACAAATATTAAAGCTAGTGGTTTATTATATTCAGTGCATTTTTCTATAAGATTTTTTATTACCAGTAGGTGATCGTTTGTTCAATAGCCTTTTCTAAAACCCGCCTGTTCTATGGGCTGATAAAATTCCAATTCATTTTCTAGTCGTTTCGTAATTATTTTTGTAAATAGTTTATAAATATGTGAAAGTAGACTTATGGGCCTGTTATTCCTGAGGTCGGTAGCATCCCCTTTTTTATGAAGTATGATAATTTCTGCGTTATACCACTGGGTTGGTGTTATTGCTTCCTGCAAACATCTAGTGAATAGTTTGGCAAGGACCTGCCATAATCTTTTTCCAGCCACTTTCAAGGCATCTGCCAGTATTTCATCGCCTCCGGGTGACTTATTATTTTTCATTTCTTGACTGAGCTTCGAACTTTATTGGGTGTTACGTCCGGTAAAATATCTTTCAATATTTGAGTAATATTATTGTTCATTTCATTGTTGCTGATATTCTCTAAGTCGTGTGTATCCAAACTAGTCTTAATATTTTCTTCGTAAAGTGTTATATCTTGTGGGAACATCCACCTTCCACTTTTTTTTTGAGGACCAGTTTTGTTCTTTCAACTTCAGTGTTAAAAGTGGTTTTTGCTCTAATTAGTCTATGGTCACTCCCTTGCTGAAAATTTATTTCAATACTGTTACATCCTGAACAATATCTTTCCGATTTGATAATATGAAATCAATCTCATTTTTTGTTCTTTAGTTCGGACTCTTCCATGTCCACTTACGTTGGGGTTTCTGAAGAATGAGTTCATCACAAAGAGATTTTCCTGATGTAAGAAGTCAAGAATTCTGTTACCTCTCTCATTTCTCTCACCAAATCCAAAGTTTCCCATAGCAGATTCTGCATCATCTTGTTTGAATCCCAATTTGGCGTTAAAATCTCCAATTATCAATGTGTAATGTGTTTTTGAAGTTTGTATAACTACTCTGATATATTCATAAAATTAATCAACTTCCTCATCCGGGTGGCTCGTAGTTGGTGCGTAAGCCTGTATAATTTTAAGTTTGTATCTTGGGTTTAATTTAAAAATAAGATAAATGACTCTGTTACATATATTTTTTATTGTGATTATGTTTGGTACCCATTTTTTATGAATTAAAAAAACCACCCCTCCAACAGATGAATCTTCGTTTCCTCTGAAACGGAACCTATTTCCAGACTTAAGTATTATTTGATCTTCTTTTCGACGCCTAACTTCACTTATACCGATTATATCCCATTTTATGTGATGAAGTTCAATCTCCAGTTCTATTAATGATGCTTCTGTTAATAAAGTTTGTACATTGTAGGCACATGTATACATTTGTCGTTTGTTTTGGTGGCCTGATCTCTTCCGGTAATTCTTAGCACCCTCTGCTCCAACACTGTTCTGACCGCCACCTTGGTTAGGGAAATTGAAACCGCCGGGGACTGAGATACGTACACTTGATGTATATATTATGAGGGGAAATTTAGCCTTAAAACGCCGCACTGGCCAAGCGTGTTGGCGAGTTTTAGAGTTGTAGTAGAAGGAAATATAGTGACCCATCTGCCTTCGGAAACCTAATCGCCATTCGGGGTCGGAAGAAACAAGAGTTAGCCAAGAGAGGCTGATAGGAAAGAATAAAGATATTTCACTCAAGACAAGTTGAAAAAGAGTAAAATGTGAAGACCCTTATGATCCGCCAGGTGCGTTTCATAAGCGTATGAGTATTAATTCACTTTGTGTTCCCACTCATACCTCGGGGTGTTGACTACAGACTGTATGGCTCGTTCAGCATGCCATAGCGTGAAGAATAGGGTGCACGCCATTTTTACAAAGTTGACACCCCACTCCATGGCCTGACATATTTTATTTGGTTTAGTATATTATAGAGGAAATTGGCAGACCACAAATATTTTTGTTAATAATAATGCAAAAAGGTTAAAGAGAACCAAAAAGTAAAAATTTTCAGGATACAAATCAAATAAACTAAAATTTTTAGAATCTGAGATAATAGGAGAATCGTAATGATGCTGATTATATTTAGGAAAGTAATATACCCAGGAATCAATCTGTCGAACGTTACCTCTGAACTGTCGGTGAAAAATTAATATTTGGCATAAATATATATATATATATATATATATATATATATATATATATATATATATATATATATATATATATATATATATATATATATATATATATATATATATATATAACCAAAAGGATGATAACGGGTACGAGTACTATGTAGTAAAAAGGAGATAATACTGGGAAGTACCCTTTTTTTGGGTACTTCCCAGTATTATCTCCTTTTTACTATATATATATATATATATATATATATATATATATATATATATATATATATATAATATATATATATATATATATATAATATATATATATATATATATATATATATATATATAAATTATAATATAATTGCTAAGGAAAACTTCTATTCTTTTTCTATCTCTCCTTGTTATACCTAGCGCGCATCGCTCCACCCACCTTTGAATGACTTTTGGTTTCGATCTTATCTCTTTCTTTGATCTCCAAATTTCGCAGTCGTATGTCATGATTGATAGTACACTGATCTAATGCTATTTAGGTAGATTGACATATTCCATTTGAATATAACTGCATTTCTACCACAAGATGTTTCAAGATAGTTTCATTCTTGTGTTGATTTCTGGAAGTAAGGAGCTAGATTTATGTATTAATTGTCCCAGGTATACATCATCATTGAACCCGGATCTATCCACTGCTGGATATAGGTCTCCCTCAGTCTTTTCCATGTATTTCTGTTTTGTGCTGTTTGCATCCAATTTTTGTCGATCCGTTTTATGTCATCAGACCATCTTGTTGGTGGTGGCAGGTATACATACCTGTCTACTATCTCAAGTGCAGTATTGTTAATTATGAGATTTTGGAAATCCACTAGCTCGTTGTACATGGTTTTTGTTTTGTAAAGTTCATTTTTAGACCAACATCATTACTAGCTTATATATACATATACTTTATATACATATTTAGCTTGCGTATAAGTTCTTGTAGGTCTACAGGATTATTAGCAATCAGAACCATGTCGTTTGCATTGCTTGGCTAAGGTTTTCTCCATCAGTGGATATTCCTTGGTCATGTAATCTTTCATCAATTGTCCTTTGGTAGCGAGCTGAGTTTCCTTTAAGATTGTTAATATTTATACCGGTTACTCTTAGGTTATATATATATATATATATATATATATATATATATATATATATATATATATATATATATATATAAACTGAAATTTCAGGCTATTACTAGTCGAACAACCATACTAACGATTGTTCCTTTGTTAGGTTATACAACGCTACTCAACCCGTTGACGATATACTCTGTGACGATGCAGGATTAGAAATGCCACCGTCGAAAAGAAAATGTGGATTCGACCAATGTCCTGAATGGACCGTTCATGATTGGAGTACCTGCGAAAAGTCCAAATGTTTTGACTGGCACAAAGGTATGAATATAAATCCTACTATAAATCTAAATCGTTATCATTTCGTTTTCGTATAAAAATGGATCCATCATATATTTTAAAGATGGGCGCCACTGATATTTATATTAGAAATTATAACACAATAATTTAATATTAATTAATATCTCAGTGTTTCGTTTTAAGGTTTTATGTTTATATTTCAATTAAAAAGTTAAGAAATTAGAGAAATAAGAAATAAAACAAAATATACATAAAACCAATTATAATTCATGAATACAAATTCTACTCTATTGATAATAATTCCATTACCGTGAGATATCTGGCAGCGGGGACGATCTGTTTTGGAGATGGTGTCAGAGAGGGCAAGAATTTATATATGTATGTTGTATTTTTGGAGTAGGTGTTTGATGAATGGGCGTTTTCTCGCGATACCCTGGCAGTTGATAGATCCTATTGAACTGTCCATTTACTCAGGTAAAAAGGTGATACAAGAGTACTTTTGTGGTAAAACATCAGGCAGGATAGGAAACTTGTGACGCCAAGGATTAGTGGACGTCTGTCTAGTAGGAGGTTGATAAGGAGAAGGAAGGTGAATTCCATGACGGCCTTTATGTCGAGTGAGAGCTCGTATGGAGGAATCTGATTGAGTGTTTCCTTCCTGCGGGGCCGCTTGGCTGTGTAAGCCACCGCAGTTAGGGCACTTTGAGGTTTGTGGAGTGGGACAGGTGGATTTATGTTATTAGCCACAGGTTAGACATTTGTATTGTTTCTGCTGACACTCCGTTTGACAACACTTACCGCAGTATTTAGGTATAGGAGGGACTGGGTTGGAGTTTGGGGGAACTCTACGTGCCAATGGAGTCCGTCTAGGAAAACTCCGAGTGTAAGCATCTCTAAGTACTTGATTTTGCTCGTTGTGATGACTTTCACAAGGCAGGTAAGTGTGTTTGATCGAGATATTATTCTCCATAGTCGAACTAGAGGGATGTTCATCTCGTTAAAAGTAGTGGTAAGGTCGGCATAAGTATAGTTTTGGGCTACACCTTTGAACACATCCTCCCACATCATGTAGGTGGGAGTGGATTTGCTCCTTTTCTTGGCTTTGTTCAGCTATTCATAGGAGTTCTCAACGTGAAAAATCAATATTTTCTGCCTTTTAAGAAGCAACAATAAAATGGCTTCAACACGGACGCGATAGCGACATCTAAGTACAAAAACCGTAAAATAGTTTCAAAGCACAATTCAGATTTCTGCTTATAATCTGAGCCTTCTAAAAATTGCAAGGCAAACAGACGTTGATAAAAGATGTTAAAAGGGACATGGGGAATCTAAAATTTGCATTCCACGACATGTCTTTTACAACTAAGCAGAAATCCTTAGCGGATATATTGATTTTTCACGTTGAGAACTCCTATGAATAGCTGTTCTGATGAGACCTATTAGGTCGAAATACGTATGAACAGATACATAGGATTTGTTTGCGTGAAATCAAATATTTGCTGTCTTTTTTCATTTTATTTCGGATTTACCTGTGTGAGTACTAGAAGCACAATTCGCTAAGGATTTCTGCTTAGTTGTAAAAGACATGTCGTGGAATGCAAATTTTAGATTCCCCATGTCCCTTTTAACATCTTTTATCAACGTCTGTTTGCCTTGCAATTTTTGGAAGGCTCAGATTATAAGCAGAAATCTGAAATGTGTTTCGAAACTATTTTACAATTTCATAATATTATTGTTTTCTGCTAGTCGAAATAGACAAAAAACTTTGCTGAAAAACTTTCTGTAGCATATAAGCTCTTATATAAGAGAGGCTATGTCTCAGCAATGTTGTGTATAAACTTGGACACAATGCTTTTAGGGTAATAACGTTAATAATATTATACATATATTTTTTAGCACTTCAAAGGCGAGTTGTACGATGTGAAATAGCTGCTAACTTAACACTAGATCCAGCTAAATGCGAGGCAGATAAAAAACCTGTTGACAAACAGGAGTGCATTAACCACAGATGCGTAGGAAAATGGAAAGTTGGTCGTTGGTCAGAGGTAAGAAAATTGTAAAAAAAATTCAGTTAGAAATATTCAGTAGATTTAATTAAAATTATGTAGATATTTAACTTAACTTAATGGAAATAAAAGTTTAAATAACTATATATTGAAGTAAAAAATGTACTTATGAACGAATTGTTTTTCACATAGTGAAAGGTAAAGATGTTAAGGTAAATTTAAATTTATATAGGATTTAAAAACAATAGAACAATATCTATGCATAATATACAAGGTAAATATTTTTGTTCTTGTTCTACACCCAACAGTCTAATGCTTATCGTTAGATTTGAAGCTAACTCTTATTTTAGAAGGAACGAAACCTTCTTCCAGTCAATAAGAGACTTTTTTTAAGGCCTTTTCTCTATTCGGATTGCCGAATATAGGCCTCTCCTAATTCTGGCCATTCGTCTCTATTCTTAGTAAGACGTTTCCACATTGGCCCTGCAGTTCTTTTAACATCGTCGCTCCATCGAATTTGTGGTCTTCCTCGTGGTCTTTTGGCTTTATATGGCAGCAAATTCCCGATTTCTTTATTCCATCGGCCGTCCGTAAGACGTTCGTTATGTCCAGCCCATTTCGATTTCAGTTTAGCTGATCTTTTCCAAGTTTATTTAAGTGAATGTTCAGGTTTGAGCTCCATATGTAAGTAGAGGTAGGATACAGGAATTAAACACTTCATAGTCTTTGAGGTATATTTTTATTTTTAAGTACGTATGAGAGTCTTCCAAATGTTGCCCATTCCATTTTTACAAATCTGCTTATTCCGGTAGTTTGATTTTCTTTTCTTACCTTGACATTTTGACCAGATATGTATATTCATCTACTTGTTCTATCTCTGTACCTTCGATATTTATCATAGGTTTGTCATCTTTGTTTGACATTAGTTTAGTTTTGCTGAAATTCATTTTCAGTCCTTTTTTAGGGATTCTGGGTATAGCTCCTCATCATCGTATTCAGCGCATTCCACGTGTCAGCTATTAGTACTACATCATCTGCGTATCTAAGATGGTTCAAGTATCTTCCGTTTATAGGGATTCCCCTATTTTCCCATTCTATTGACTTAAAGATATCTTCTAGGGCAGCTGTAAATAATTTTGGAGATATTGCGTCTCCTTGTCTTACTCCTTGGTTGATTTTTACTGGTCTTTTTTCGATTCCCTTACCCAGCGTCACTATCATTTTAGCTTGTTCGTAAATATTATGTGTTAATATTCTCTACCTGTAGTTGATGCGGTTGTTGACTAATGCTTCTTCTATTGCCCACAGTTCTACGCTATTAAAAGCCATAATCTATAAAAGCCAGACAGAATGGGACATTGTTCGGGTATGATGTCTTTTAATAGACATTTATTAAATAGTATTTTTAGATATGTGACGGCTTCTTCTCCTCCTTCCTTCAGCCTGGATTAGGATTCCATCGTTTCCAGGAGCTTTATTTCTTTTTATTTCTTTTACTGCTCTTTCTATTTCTTTGTGGCTTATTTCGGGCATCACTTCTGAGTTGACATTTTTTGTTGCTGCCTTTTCAAGTTCTTCTTAGAGGAGTTCGGATGATCGTTTCTGAAACGGTACAGATCGGCGTAGATTGGCTTTTAATTGAGTTTGCAATATCAGATTTATTTTTTTCTAGTTGTCCTTGTTCATTTTTAATGGTTATTATGCTTTTCTGAGTTATTATTTTCTATTATTATTGAGACTTCGGTTTTTCTCTATGATTTGTTCTATACGGTCTTTTTGATGTTTTTTAATGTTCTCTTTTATCTGTTTTCTTATTACTCGATTAAGTTCCTTAAATTCTGTAGTGTCTCTTTTGTTTTGTCTCAGAAGATCTTTTCTTTGTTTCAGCATGTTTTGTAATTCTACACTTATTTTGGATTTTTGTTTTCTGTTAGCAGTTGCCACTTCTGAGCTTGCATTTAGTGGTTCTTTTATTATGACTTCATTAATTTCATGTAAGCTAAGTTTATCTGGATTTAATACTTTCGTGGGTTTTAACTTGCTTTTATATTGTTTTGTATTAGAGTTTAATTTATCTGTGTCTCTATTCCAAGTTTTTCTAAATTTATTTCTATTTTTATTATATTTTATCTCTAATTTGGCTCTAACCATTCGGTGATCGCTACTTACTAACGCCGTAGTGAGTTTTTTCTTATAGAATGTGTTCATTGCATAGTATTTGTGGGCTTGTAGGAAGTTAACCAAGGTTTCTCCTCTCTCGTTTATAACTCCAGAGCCTAATTGTCCTATATAGTTTTCGGTTTTTTTAAGTCGTTGTCCTATCTTAGCGTTGAAGTCTCCTGCTATCATCATATACGTACTGTGATAATTCGTGCTACTTTCTGCAATTTTCTCATAAAATTCGTCTATCTCTTCATCGGGATGTACTGCGGTTGGAGCGTATACTTAAATAATTTTCATGGAGATGTTCTCGTCTACATTTAACCTAATCATTGTAATTCTTTCAGATAGTCCTACGAATTCCTCTACTTTATGTGCCTATTTCTTGTAAATTAGAAATCCTACCCTATCTAGGTTTTGTTCTTCTCGCCCTTTGTAATATAGCACGTTACCTGACTCTAGTGTTATGCACTCTTCTCTCTTTGTTTTTACCTCTGCTAGACCAATTATGTCCCATTTTAAGTTCTTAATGTCTTCTTCGAGTTCGTAGACTTTTCATCTTTGCTTAAGGATCTTATATTTAGAGTTGCGATGTTCAATCGTGTGGTTTTTAGCGATTTCTTGCTTCCCCCAGATTCCATGCAGCTGTCTTTTTTTCCAAAGGAGTGGGATTTTCCATTACTGTATGGTCTACCCACCTGGGGACCTATTCCCTTTGTTTTAGATATCGCCATATTCCTATTAGGAGGTTTTTTAACACCACGCTGGCTAGACGGGTTGATGAGTGATTTTATACAATCGCTAAAACTAGGACTATCCAAAGGAGTTCCTACCCGCTACCCAATAAGAGACTAATTGTATATATTTCTTTAAAAATATAATCTTTGAGCTTTTACAATCTGGTACATGCTACTCTTTTATTGTTCACTTAATTTATTTTGTTCTAAATATACTAAGATTTTTTAAACCATCCGAAATTACTCAGTGGTACTAACTTTTTTTTCCGCCTTCTTCTGAGCTTGGAATGTAATATTAGAATTCAGTAAGTCGTCTCTATTAGCTTTATAACCCACGCAAAAGTGGTTACTTTCTAACACTGGCTACGTATCGCAACTTATATGCCTCATCTTATAGAGTTGACTCCCCCTAGTCTTCCTCATATATGTTAACTTACTGATATATTAACTTTAAAATGTGCTTGTGATATAGTTCATTACATAATGGCTGAATAACTTCCCCAATTTCTACTTTTAGCATTTTTAATAAAACGCATGTCCTCTAAAAATCACAAAAATGCATTACCATGGTTACAATATTCCTATATTGACCTACTTTTTGGGCTACGTGTAGTAATTGGTCTGCTGTTAAACCTGTCCGTTGTCGCAATTTTTTTAACCAGGAGTGTTTTCATTGGTCCACCGATTATAATATATCCAAGATATTCTAGTTTCGTCTCTTAATGATATTTAATAATGTTTATTGATGTCCTTATTCTTCAAAAAACTTCTTCGTTTCTGGTCATGCTAGTATTGAGTTGGTCTCTTGATTATTCTTCAATACAACCGCATATCAAATGCTTTGATTTTATTTTTGGTATCGACGTTTAAGCTCCATATTTTACATCCATACAAATGTATACACCATATATAGCATCTTGTAAACTTTTAACGTATTTGCCAATTTAATGAATTATTGGATAAGCGCTTGCATTTTCGAAATGTGCCTGTTTAATTTGACATCTGATTTCGAAGGACGGATCTAATTTTAGGTGACCCAAGATCGAAGGTATTTGACTCATTGTACTTTTTCCAGCGTTTGTTGCTTCAATACCAGGAAGGTTGGGCCTATGTTCTCTTTATTGGTGACCATATATTTAGTATTATAGATGTTTATCGACAATACTGAATTTCTGCTTTCTATATCAACTCTTTTGATTAGTTTTTGCAGGTCGTCGATATTTTTAGCTAGAATCACACTATCGTCGGCGTATCGTAAACGAGTATTGGCAATTACTATAGTTCATTATCCGTATGATAATTCGTTTTTGATATTTTAAATTCTCCCTAAATGAATAGTTAATATATTGAAAGATATTTTTTTAATATTCGAATTAACATCAATTTCTAAAACATAATATTTAAATTCTGTATTTTATTTGTTTTAGTGTGCTGCGACATGCGAAACCAAGGGATTAAAATATAGAATTATCCAATGTGTTTGGTATGGCACAAAAAAGCCTGCAGGGACAGCTTGCAAGGACATTCCTAGACCACCAATTATGAAGCCTTGTATTGGAGCGTCTTGTACCAAAACAGGTAAACGAATACACATATAAAAAACAAATATAATTATTCTAAAGGTATTCTACCATACAGCTAGCCATAATAAGTCAATGACATATCAAAGATACATCAGTTATGTTTTAAAATAAAATATATTATATAAAATCACCCCTCCCGACGACTATCAGGGTGAAGTCTGCTGGATAGGGAGAGAAGCGAAAACATAAGAAGAGAATGCAGTATATAAGATATAAATAGATGGGTGACAAAACGAAAACAGGAGTGGAACGAATACATCAGTAGAATGGCAGAGGATAGAATAGTACGAATAGCACGAGATAAGTCACCAAACGGACGAAGAAGTATTGGCAGACCAAGAAAAAGATGGTGCGACAATTTAAACAATTTAGGAGGCTAATATTAAAGAAAAAACAGGCTTTAAAGCCTAGATACTAGAAGGAATAAGAAGAAGAAGAAGAAGAAGAATATATAAAATTAGAGTTTGATATTAATATTGAGAGTAAACTAGATGTAAGACCAAATCCTTACCACGTAGGGATAGTATCATGGATTTTTCCTAGTTTTCTTTCCATTCACAATGGAATCGCTAAAGAGATAATTTTACTATTCTGATTGGGTGTGATTCTCTTTTTAAAGATAGGATAGTGAGTAATACGGTAAACACACGTTTTCTTTTGATCTCTGTACAATGTAAATGTAAAACCAAAATTGTTATAGTATTTTTCTCTTATTTAGATTTAACAATTTTTCTGTAAAAGTCTGTAAACTATTTAAACTAAATAGTGCCACTTTTATTTTTACTAAATGATACTAAATAGTGCCACTACCTTTTCATCTTTGATTTTGTATTAGTTTATTTACTTCATATTGTTATGTATTTTGGTACCCATAGTGGTAGTGTCAGATATTCCTTAGGTTGATAATATGTCAAGAAGGGTTGTTGTGACATGGCGGCCACGTGGACTTTGAAGTTTAGTAGTTACTGTTGTACGGTTTCAATTTAGTATTGATTAAATGGTGTTCTCGTCAACTATTAGTTTTATTAATACAAAACATTCTGGCGTAAAAGATAATATAGTTTGTGCGGTGTGAATTTGGAATTTTATAGAAAAAGGCGTTAATCGCTAATATAGAAGCATTCGGCGGGAAAGCTGAAGAATTCGAGATATACCTGGAATGAATGGTACATCTTTTTGCGGTGAACAAAGTAACGGAAGAAACAAAAAAGTGTCAATGTTTATCACGCTAGCTGGTTCTAATGTGTATCAGACACTGAAAAATTTATCGGCACCTAAAAGCCCAGGTGAGCTAGGAAAGTTCTTCTTCTTCTTCAAGTTCCACTCCTATCGGAAATTGGAAATCATTCTGGCAATTATAATTTTATTGGTTACTCGCCTGAATACTTCAATTGGACTGCATCCAGACCATTCACGGAGATTGCGTAGCCACGAGATTTTACGTCTTCCTACGCTTCTTCTACCTTTGATTTTACCCTGCATTATATTCCTTAGTAGTTCGTACTTTTCACCTCTCATTATGTGCCCCAAGTATTCCAATTTCCTGATTTTTATGGAATTTAAAACTTCGCATTGTTTTCCTAGTTGTTCGAGAACTTGTTCGTTTGTTTTGCGATCCATACATGATATTTTCAAAATACGTCGGTAACCCCACATTTCAAAGGCTTCTAGGTTTTTAATGTTGGATTTTTTAAGTGTCCAAGCTTCAACTCCATACAAAAGGGTAGAGAAAATATAACATCGAAGCATTCTTATCCGGAGCGATATATTGATATCGCGATTACAAAAAAGTTTTCTCATTCTATTAAAAGTTGACCGCGCAATTTCAATGCGGCATCTTATTTCTTTTGTCTAGGAAAGTTGTAGAGCTTCTATTGGTACATTACTTACCACCTGTATCTGAAATTTATAAACGATATATTTTTAACAAATGTAATCAGAAGATAGATCAGTTTGTTTCAGAATCGTTGAAAATCGTAGACTTGCGAGCACGTGTAACTTGAGGAAATTTTTGGATGAAGCATTACAAAATAGGTTTGGGTGTGGATTTAGATAAAAAAAAATATTCAACGAAAACTATTAGCAGATGAAAAATTAACATTTCAAAGTGCCTTTAAAGCTGCTAAAGCAGCAGAATTGGCTAGAAAAACAAGTTAGCAATTTGTCTGAAGAAACTAGTGTAAATAGTATCAAAAACACCAATTAACTATAAGGACATTGCCAAGGTGTCCAGTAAAGATCCACTACTAAAGAAAGTAATAGATTATGTCAAAACAGGTTGGCCAAATAAAGTTGGCAGTGAATTTAAAGCATATTATAGTAAAGGTAATGAACTTTCTATTGAATAAAATTGTCTAATGGAAAGTATAAAAGTTATTTTGGAGCTTTTTTATGAAGATCACATATGTATAATGCGTACAAAAATGCTTACTAGATCTATTATCTGTTGGCCAAACTTGCAACCAGAAATTAAGGTTCTGGTGAATTCATGGCCTAAGGCTGAAAATGTGTTTTCACGTGTTCACGTTGATTTTTATAAGAAAAATGGAGTCATGTTTTTGCTCAAAGTGGATATTAAACCAAGATGGCCTGACATTCACATAATGTCAAAAGGCACTAATTTGACTCAAACTGTTGAAAAGTTGAAACTAACGTTTTCAGGTATAGGTTTACTTGATGTAATTGTCTGTGATGGTGGTCCACCGTTAAACTCATTAGAGTTTGATAAATTTACTTGATACATTAACTACTTGTTTTATTAATATACAACACGTATGTTTTTTATATAGTTCCTTGACTTTTATTTACTTAAAATTTAAATTATGCAATGTATACTCACAAAAAAAGAACTATTGTTGTTTTGTAAATAAACAAAATTGGAATTTTTTTTTCAATATTTTAATATTTTCCAATTATGTGATATATTTACTAACATAATATGTGAAAAACCAGTATAAGTAAACTTTGTAAGGAAAGCAGATTTACTAAAAGAATTAAGCGTTTAAGTTCCTCGTTCGCTCCACTAGTTAATAATAAAAACATATGGTAAACCTATTATAATATAAATATTTTACATTACAGTAAAGATCATTTACCGCTTTTTTTCATTTTCAGAACCAATCTGTAAGGACCATTCCATGTTTTGCCCCAACGTCAAGATGATGAACATGTGCAAGGTAATGAGGTACCAACAACAATGCTGCCAAACGTGCAGACATTGAACCAACTTGCAACACTGCTTTTCAAAAATTACAATATTTGTGAAGTATCCTTGAAAGAGACTTTTATCTAAATTAATTTTATTTTGTGATTTTACCGTAAGGCACAAGCGCAATTGAAAAGTAGAGATGAAGGGAAAGATATATTTTAATAAACGGTCCGTGTCAAAGCATTATGTTATAATAATAAATGTTATGGTTAATATGAAATTATTTATTGAACAGATCATTGTTTGTAAATTTAAAATTTACTGGACATGTTGTAAAAGGAATTGCAGGGGTAGACAAAAATATGTACTATTTCATAATTATATACTAAAGTATGTATATAAAATATGTTTTATTCGAAAATGAAATGTTATCGTATACAAATTGAATATTAAGTTACATACAATACGAAAAACGGTAGTATTTCATTTTTAGATCAATTCATCTATTCTTCTTCTTAAAAGAGGTGTATGGAATGAGCAATTAGATAAAGATAAAGATTGCACAAGAAAAAATATTTAATAATATCCGAATAATTTCTGAACTTGAAATAAGAAAATAGGTATATCATCTACTTAATAACATCCATAGTGAAATTTTAATAAAAAGTTAAGTAAAACAGAAACCACAATGAACATACAGTAAAGTAGTGGGCAAGATGATTATTTTACATAAGGATTGATGAAACCAAAAATTTATCATTGATACAAGTATTATTGATGAATATGTACATTACCTACTAGGGATATTGGGAATAGCGTCACAAAGAATGGAGAGATAAATTAAAGGTGACTAGGTAGAAAATGAGTAGGATAAAAGAAACTGAAAATAAGTTTCTCGTAAACATGTCGATCGAATAAAGACAGAATAGCAAATTTATTATTAAAAGTGTTTTTTTGTTTGTTTTGCAAATATTTATACAAAAATTATTCGCATTAATGTATCTATCTTAAAATAGAAAACTTTACTATTTGAGTCATGTTACAACAAGCACATCATTCAGTCCCTTGTCACTCGTATACTTTTATTGGAGGCAAAATTGTAACTAAGACACAGATTGACTACTTTGAAATTAGAAAAAGAATAATATTATATTTGTGCAGTGGCGTGCCGTGACAATTAAAGAATAGGATGCAAATTAAATGAAATTATTAAAAGACTTACTAAACTTTCTACTTGTAGTGCAGTCTATTCTTCTGCCATTCTTGGCAAACTCGTTTATGACACACTCATAAAAACTGGCATTTTCAGACATTTCTTTAATAAGTTCTTTTTCGATTGACACTATCGCTAAATTAGCTAGCGTCTCCCCACTTGTGGAATTTCTGACACAATTTTTAATCCGCATTAGTAGAGAAAAACTTCTTTCTATAGACGCACTTGTAGCAGGTATTGTCATCAGTAAGTCACATAATTTTAAAACCTCTCCATATGATTCATCAAACAGAACTTGTTTGTTTAAGATATGTCAGCACTTTAGAACAAGTATCACTTTGTGCAGAGTGTTGAAAAGTATACACAGTTGGGAATGCAGGAAAAGAATGTCAAAAAGTTTGCATAATGCTTTTTTAGACAATTAAAAGCCTCTTCCAGGAAACTAAAGTTGACATATTTATTTAAATTCCATGCATAACTCTACAAATCTTAACTCACAGACATTTTTAAATATTTCTTTAAGCTGGTGGGACACCTTATCTAGTATTTCACAAAAAAGTCGATGATAAAATATTTTTGTTTCACTTAAATCGTCAATTCGAATGCGTTTTTTTTGGTTCCATCTCTTCAAGGTCGAAAGTTTTTGCCAGATGATATGAAATTGTTCCCTCTGTCTGTTAATTTGGACTTCAAATTCGTTAATAATTATTAGTATAATAAGATTAACGGATTGATTACGGTTGTCGCCGCTTCTTCGCCTCCAATTTCCATTCTTTTCTGTCATATGCAGTTGCCTCTTCTAAATCTCTTGCCGCCATAGCTTCATCATTTATCAATATCGTTTTCTTCTTTCTTCTTTCAGAAGGAATCCATTCCAGTACTCTGTACTCTGGTATTTTTTTAACATGTCCGAACCAGATTAATTGTTTTCTTTTTATGTTTTTTATTTGTTCGTTTTTAACTCTCTCTAGTTTCGATCTACCGCAGCTTCATCTCAGATAATCCATTTCTGTCGTCATAAGTGTGTTTCCATTAGCTTTAGTGACGTCCCATACTTCCGAACCGTAAAGTGTAATACTTTGGACTATACTACCGTAAATGTGTTTTTTGGTTTCCCGTCGAGTTGTTTTTTGCCAGAGAAGAGAGTTTAAGCCCCGGGTCGCTGCTCTGCCCTTGTTTATTCTTTTCCTGATTTTATCTGCGCTATTTTCCTTCTTGTTAAAAATGACCCCCAAATATTTGCAATATTGCACGCTTTTGATTTTGTCGTCTTCCAAAACTATGTCACCTATTTCATCTGTTCCCACTGAGAGATATTCACATTTTGTCATATTCATGTTTAGACCTCGACCTTATATTCTTCTTGCAGTTTTCTTACCATATAGCTAAGATCGTAGCTGTCTTCGGCAATTACTATCTGGTCATCCGCAAAGAAAAGTGTATAAAGCGTGTTTTCTTCCACCGTTATTCCCATTTCTCTAAATTTTTTTACCCATTTCACTAAGTATCTGTCCAAATAGATTTTAAATGGCTGCTGTCTGTCACCCATTCTGGTCTCATTTTAATTCTTGCAAACTTTTGTTCGTAGTATTTTTGAGTGGCGTTAATAAGAATTGGATTTATTTCTAAGTTACCCATTTATATTCATAGTTGGGAGATCAGTACACTATCATATGCTTTTTTCAAATCTACTAAAGCTTAATAATTTTTAATACAAAATTCAATATCATTCGATTTTGTCTACAATACATCAAATAAAATGTCTGTATAAGGAAAAGTTCAGAAAATACTTAAACTAAAAACTCTATTAGGGATTGCCGATATTGGGAAACTGTTCTTACTAACTTCCCATTGTAGGTCCATGTAGTGGGAGCTTCTCGAGGAATTCTTTTCTAAAGAATGACATCTAAAGCAAGTGTCCTTGTGGATAATTTAGGAAAAAAGCCATTTTGGACATTCCGCTCAAGGTTTAGAAAAATACTTTGCAAGTCTTATTGAGTACGACCGATTGCGTTAGAACTAAGTTTAGCCTGTGTGCACAGTAGTGCACAAAAATTGCGTTTTAAAACGTCTGCTTAACGTTGGTTTGAAATCCTCCCAAGTGCCCAGCAATTACGGGAGCTTCATCATACCTTTGAGCGAAAAGTTTGGAGCCACAGTCCAGTTTCTCAACTATATTAGAAACATTCTAAATATTCCTTCTGCTGGTCATCTGCAGCTATATCCAAAAATCCCCAAAATCATTATTGTATTTCCCCATTATTTTTTATGTAACGCAGAACAAACGACAATTTACTCAAATTGACCATATCTGTAGTTTCATCTAAAACAATGGAAATAGATGGTGCTTTTTTTATTTCTTTTTTGATTTTTGCAGAATAGTATTTGCCACTGACTTGGCGAAATCATTTTGTATTCTATTCGAGGTACCTCTTAATATGGTAGATTGATCTAAATGATTGTTTATAGTTCATCATATTCAGACAAAAATTTCCCCATATTTTCAGATTCATAACTTTCAATATACCGTCGGAAACAAAGTTCATGTTATCCAAAGAAATATGTAATCTGAATCAGTCTAATAGTCAATCTAATATTTTCCGATTTTTTTTTACTTGCTCATCATGTATGCGGTGGCTAACTTTAAGCTGATTATCTAGAGCGTGATCAATTCGTATTTTCCTAAAAGTCTTTTATTTTATAACTGCTTCTAAATGCGTTTTACTTAAAATGTCTCATTTATAGATTTGTGAAAATTATTTAATGATGTGCTCAAAATGCCGATGCAAACTCATACAACTTGAGTGCAGATTTGACGACTATTGTTGGCGAGTGCAGACGAATTGACCGATGGTAGCGTGGGCAGTTTCTCGCGGTTTCTGAAATTGCATCCAAATATAGACCCGTTGTTGTCAGTATGTCATTCGTAACATAATTTAATGGTTTCTTAAAAAACATGTTTTATCTTTAAACATCTTAATTATTACAAATTAATTTGAAATATGATTACTAGTTTTGACTACTGAAAATAAATTTTAGAATTTAGAGATGCAATGCTTCTCTTTCATCTATAGATCGCATGCCTTTGTGTTTAGTTTGGCTGTACATCTATTCAACCATCTATGGAAGGGTCAATTAAGTTAAAAAAAATTATTCTAAATTGCCAATCTTCAGAAGAAATGACATGGTAAAAAGCATCGGTTAAGATCACCTATAAGGTAGTTAAAATTGTTTGCACAAGTTTTTAGATTCCATATGACATATTGGCAAAAACTGTCAGTTTTTGTTAATATTTCATCTAATAAATAGCTCGAAAATAATAGCATACAGTTTGTAAGGATATTATAATTAATAACTCTTTATTTGGTTCTTCAAATATATCCAGCGACTCTTCTGATAATATTCTTGTTAGCATATAATTTATACATACACAAAGAATACATTTTTGTATAAATAACTTCTGTTTTATGAAAGGAAGTTGGAAATATGGAATAGTACTAATATTTTATAATGATGTAGGAAACTGGACACGTTTAAGTTAAGCTTAAGTACTTCATACATTCTAGATTGCATATATTGTACACAAAATTATGACAGCGTGACTACCTATGTTTATTTCGCAAAGAACAAATTAAGATTTAAATATTAATATCGCCTGAAATAATAATTTTATTTCAGATTAGATGGTACCTTTGTATATTATTCAGGTCTCTGAGTTGATACTTGCAAACGTTTGATGTTAGGTAATTAAGTTAAAATTATAATAAAATACTGTGTTTAACATTTGATACAAAGATTGACAAATCGTTGTGTTTTCGAGACATACAGATACTGCATAAATCTACAGAAAACTTTTCGAC